TTCTTGAGGTTTCATAACAGAATTAAGCAATTTGTGTCACGTGTTGCCATGGAGACCATAAATCACTGTCATGCTGGGCTTCTCTGTCAGGGAGCTGTTGTCTTTAATTGCACTAACCTCCCCTGCAAAGCCAGGGCTTGGTTCTGAGCTCGTTTAACTGCTGTAATGGCTTTGCCCTGGGAGCTCTGCCTCCAGGAGAGCAGAGCTGGAACCAGCGGTAGGGGTGCTCGCACATAGAATATCAAATATATGGGGTCAATTTTATTATTGTGGTATGTGGCCACACCTCTGCTCAGATGAACAGAAATTATAATGATTTACATAAGCTGAGATCTGTCCCACTTGCATTCAGGGCAAGTTTTGCAACGAGGGTGGGGATTAGATACACTACCTTTATGTTATGGTGACCTGTTGGGGCCTGGGGGTCCAGCTGCACAAACTAAGCTGAATTTCTCTGTCTTTGGTGTTTTTGTGTTACTTGGCTGTTCCAAGGGGATAGCTCAGCCCTTCCACTCCATCTCCACGTCCAGAGAAGTAAATGGGGTTTTACGCAGTTTATTCTGCCTCCATAAGAAATCCTTTCTGCAGAGGAGGTTCAGCCTCAGTGACGTTCTTGGGTCAGCGTTTCTCTTTTTTTCCTTGCCATCTACCCCAGAAGCAGCCACATTTCCAACTGTCTCAGCATTACTGGCTTGTGCTGTAAGGACACAGATCTTGCCGGTGCGTATGAAGATGGTGGTATAAATCAGCCTCCTTCCAGTGACTTAACCAGAGCCCTGACAGCTTTCGTCAGCGTCGGGTATGGATCCTTCTCTTGGCTCCTTCAAAATAAACAACTGTATAAATTGTGAGATGATTATCATCAGAGCTTGTTAGTGTATTACCACATGCTGCTTTGTATTCAGACAATAGATAAAAACGTCTGTGCTTTGTTTTTCTCAGTCGGATCTACAGCAAACACGCTTATTCTTGCTCCCATCTGAGGAGGACTGTGTCAGTACTCCTGCCAAAAACACGTGAAAATCAGCCCAAGTCTTGTGCACTTGCCCGTAGCAACGTAACCAGCCGGTGCGGAAGCTCTGCACACTTTTGGGAGTGTTTAATGTTTTCCAGGAGGTGACATATGTTGTTTTTAAGGTTTGATTTATTGGCTGGTTTAGATGATAATCTTGTCAAGGCATGAGCTGTCTTCATGCTTTGGTTATCAGGGCAGGTGGAGGTGTAGAGGGATTGATGTACTTGAGTTTCAGAGGGTTTGCGTTACGTACCTGCATGTTGGGAGCATGGGACCAGTAGAAGGAGGAGTGTTTCCATGAGCAGTGGAAACAACCCTACAGAAACATCTATACTTACTGCCTTTTGACACTCAATAGAAGATTTCATCTGTTCATGCTAACATCACCTAAAACATGGGTTTTTGTGCTCAACAAACCAGCCTAGGGTGCTTGACTTCTTTTTTTTTTTTAATTATTTTTTTCAGTTCAGTTCCTGCTGTTTCTCCCCAGGCTACATAATACTCAGTCTGGTAGCTTAGACATACAGTATAACCAAACTTCTGGAAACAACGGGAAGCAAATGCCCCGATTCAACCCATAAGCGTGTTGGGCAGAGTCACAGTTTGTACAATGGGCTAAATATTATCCTCCCTATTTGGGGAGCATTTCATGCAAGATAAGCTCGAGGCTTCTTAGGAGCGAGTTAAAGGGGCTAGTACTAAATGTCAATGAAAATGTAACACTTGTCTGCCGAGCAGTAGCTTGTGGTTTTGTGATGAGGTCAAAAATTGTGCACAAACGGAGTATGGTTTTCACATCCGCGGCCTGTCCCCCGCCACATCAGTAACAATCAGCCTTTCATACTGCCCGGCCGGAGCCGTGTAAAGAAGGATGGGGTGAAATCTCGGCGACGGGCAAAGCGAAAAATTGTGGTCAAATGTGTTGGGGGGGCAAGGCTTTAGCCAGAGTCTCTGTCCTAAAGAGCCTGTGAGAATCGTCTGGCCTTATGGCATTACGTGGAAAGAAAACTTGGTCTTCCAAGGAAAAATGAGAAACTTGGTTGAAATTCATAGGTTTCTATCCAGCCAAGGATGCTGCTTGTTGATGATGTGATCTTGTAAATGTGCGAAAGTCGCTTAGTCTCCCTAAAATGGGGGTAAGAAACTTTTCCTTGGGATTATGGTGAGGAACTGCAATAAGGCTGGTTGAGATCTCAGCTGGTGCTTGGTCTCCTTCTCCCCATCCAGCAGCTGTTGCTTGCAGTGGAAATTCTTGCTGTTCTCAAGAATTTCTCCAAAGATAGTTTAGAAACAAGCAGACTTGATCATGTTTCTTCTTGCTCTGAAAATTTTGGCTTGTCTCAAATGTCTCTTGGACAAGAGACCTTTGCAGTTCTCATTAGCCTCAGCGATCTCACCTCTGTGATCACCCTCTCTCTGCCTCTTATGGGGTTTTCTTTTTTAGTTCCTATACTTTTGGTTCAAGGAGAAATGTGCAGCACATGACCTTAATTAGGGGCCAAGGCATTTAACCTGCACAACATACAGATTATGCATATGGGAAGTTATTCCTGTGTTTGCAGAAGTCCTCAAGTGCAAGCTGTACCTTGTCATCATACATATTGTGGTGCTGGGGAGGATGGAGGAGAGGAGATTCCCCCATTTAAAAAATGGTGGGTTTTTCTCTTTTGGCATTGAGCTGTGATTGTAGGTGGGAATGTAACTCCCAGAGTTGTGTCCTGCTGGCACTAGTTGCATTGTGGTGTGGTGATCAAGGGTGAATCACTCACATTTCGTTGTCTTGTTACATTGTCTTTGGGCATTGCTGTGGTTTGAATGGTGCTCTCACAGCATGCCTCAGGTCACCTGCTGACAATGAATGTTTTGGGGGGTTATATTTTAGATTACAGCTGCAATTCAGATACAGCTGCTTTGGCCGGAGGATCTTTTTCCCATAAGTAAAACTTAAAAGCAAATGTGAATGCTTGCAACTGGTTTCATTTTGTCTCCTTTCATGCACTTGCCCACATACGTGGGAAGGTGAGTATGTAGTGGGGGGAAAGCTGGTTAGTAGAGCTGTGAAATGACTTTGAAAAGCCCTTTCTCTGGCTGGGGTCTCCATCCAGTATACAGTAAGGAACATGGGACCCCTAAGCAAGTGCCTTTATGGTTCAATAATTTGGATTAAACTGAAATAGTGATTTAGGAGAAAGGGACTAGAGAAACTAGAAAATAAACTTGGAAGGCTGATATCTTCTTCAATATGAAATCAAACCATTAGGGGTTTTATGCTCTGGTCTGTTTGAAAAATGGTCTAAGTTGGCTTTTGGGCCTCTTTGGAAATGAAGAATCAAAGTGTTTTGTTTGGAAAATATCAAAATGAAAGAATTTCGGGGGAAAAAAAAATTCTATACTACAGGCTAAAATAAAGTGATATTAGTTGATGGCTCAGCTTGCACTGTGCACGCAGCAGCCCTGAAGTCTCGGCTCCTAAGCACCACCTGGGTCAGCCTGCGGCACCGGGCGCATCGGCCTTGCTCGGTGGTCTCTGAGAAGGAAAAAGTTAAAGTCTTCTTCTTAATGAAGAAAAATCCCTATGGTTATTGGGAAAGCCTCCAAAAGCTTGTGTGGGGAAGTGGGGATACAGACTGGGATGCCGACAGTTTATGGAGGCTTCCCCAGAGCAGGTAGTCCAGAGCAGTCCTCGTTTCCCCCTCAGCTCTGACCCCAGCCAGCGCCCGCAGCCAGAAGGGCACAAGCAAAACCAAAATGGATGGGAAAACCAAAATGGATAGGAGCAGGTGCCTGCAGAAAGTGTCACCACAGCTGCTCCCGCGCTGTACAGCTTGCGTCAAGAAAGCTGATACCAAGGAAATCAACTGCCCTCTCTTGAGCCTTATCATTAGGATGTATTTTTTTGTTTTATTTTACTTTTTTTGCTGTCTGAAAAACCTCCCCAAAAATGCAGTGGCCGTTCAAATTTGGGAGATGGCCACCCATTGCCCATGTGATTTGAGTGAGCATCACTGTTGCCCGTGTGTGGCAGGTGGGTGGAGGGCACTGCCTTCTGCAGCATACGTACAAAACCTCTCGCCTGGCTTCTTCTTAAATAAGCGGTCGCTGCTGTTGAGTGTTGAAATGGGCCGTTCAGCAATGGCTGCCTCTTCTCCTTTCTCCACACACGTGTGACGTTGCCCGGTTCCAGCCGGTGAATTTGTTTTCTTCTTTCTTTGAAGAGTCAGTTCCTCCGCGGCTCACCCAAGGTGAGGGGAGCGGTGTGACCGCGCTGCCGGGGAAGCTGCTCTGCTGGCTCTCCGGGCTGTGTCATAGCCACAGAAACCAGCCTTCCTGCCACGGCAGGGTTGGGGGTTTTTTTGGTTTGTTTTTTTTTTTTTTAAAGCAAAACAAAACCCACCTGTCCTTCCTGGCCTGCTGCCTTCTTGTTTTTATTTCTCAAACCTGAAAACAAGGGAGAAGAAAGCAGCTAAGTGCATTCTTGTCTGCAGAGCCAGGACTGGACCTTCACCTCCGGTTTCATCCATCACCGCCGGTTCTGCCGGCAGATGTGGCCCCCAGATGTAACGCGCCGTTTAATGTTTGCTGTACCCTGGGTTAAGCAGTGAAGAGTAGCAAGGCTCTGGCTTCTCAGTGGGATTTGGTCACTGGCAACTGGAAATTATCTGGAACTTGACAGCTGCCCTGACCCAGAGTGATTTTTGGCATGGCCACATGGGCCCAGCCCCTAAAGGAAAGGTGTTCAGATGATAAAAGTTTTGCACATGCATTTGGTGGCAATTAGTGATCCTTGTAGACGAGGCAGGAGTAAGCAAGCCACAGCGGTGGGTTTGTCTGCTCTTCTAAGTGATGGGTCTGGGTTGCGGTAGAGCTCTTGGGGAGGGTAGGTGCTGCCGCTCCTGCCCAAAAGGACTTTGGATGTCAGAGTGCATCAGGGAGGGGGTAAAGCCAAGGAAAACCGCCAGGATGCTGCCTTGGAGTGCTGCCTTCATCCTCACTTCTTCAGCAGCAGGTGAAAGTTGCCTTGTGCATGTTGCCCTCTTTTCATTGTTGACGAGTGATTGGAGATGATCTCTTTCTCCAGCAGGTTTAGCAGACTGGAAGCATGGCTACAAGTGCTGTTCCCAGCGAAAACCTCCCCACGTACAAGCTGGTGGTGGTTGGAGACGGTGGCGTGGGGAAGAGCGCTCTCACCATTCAGTTCTTCCAGAAGATTTTTGTGCCGGACTATGACCCAACTATTGAAGACTCCTACCTGAAGCACACGGAAATAGATGGGCAATGGGCAATTCTTGACGGTAAGCAAGCTACTCTCGTGGTCCCCTTTCCGTTCTAGCTGAGCATAAGCACAAACAGACCTCAGTGCCTCCCACAGCTCGTTGTACCCTTGTGTCCCTCCTACTCCGCTGTGGGCTGCCGGGAATTTGAGTGCAAACTGGCCTGTGAGCTGCGGCACATGGTCTGCAGCTGACCTCCAGCAAAGCTTCTGCTTCCAGTTGCGTTGGTTCCAGTTCTGCACAGAAATGTTTCTTGCAGGAGCGTGAAAACCTATAGATCATCATAGACATTTGGGGTAGGATTCTATGAAGGGTGAATTACGGCACCGTGAGGTGGCTATTGCTAATGATACTTCATTGCGGTTAGGCTCGTCCCCTGGGAAATAACAGTGAGTGGGTAACTGAATGGGGGTTATAACCAGAACGAACATTTAATCAAAACTGTCATCCACTGACAGTGAAGAATGGTAACACCTCTTAACTCCCATCATTCAGGCATGATGTTTTCATATCTACTTACCTGTTTCATTTAAATGCGGGTAGGGTACCAGCCTGGAGAGATCTGTAACCAAGAATCAAGATCTTTCAGTTCTTTGAAGAAAAATCACTTTTTCTTTTCTTTTTTTTTTTTTTTTTTAAAAAAAACCAAACAAAAAAGCCAAAAAAACCCAAAAAACCAGACAAACAAACCAAAAAAACCCAAACCAGCCAACCCTAAAAAAAAAAAAAAAAAAAAAACAAAAAATCTTGATTCCGCAAGTGAGGAAAAAGCCCTGTATTACCTAAAGCTGCAACTTACTAGTTTGTGCTGCAAGAGACAGACTGACCACAGCCGTAAGGGGAATCTTGCTGTTAAATGTTACAGATGTTGTCTGGCTTTATACAATAATTAGGTAGTACATAAAAGCAAGCACATATTTTGTGCCTTAATTACCCAAGTGCATGTATATGGGCACTAACACAACCAAACTAAATTTAACGTGACTTGCGGCACATTCCTACTTCCATCCTTTTGTCATGAAGGCGCGCAAGGTCTGTGGTGTCTCTGCACGTGCATTGGTGTGCGGGGACAGAAAACTGGGTGATTGGCATGAGTGGTGGAACGTGGAGGGTGGTGGGGTTTGCTGTGAAGACTGTAAGCTTGGTCTGGAAACTTGAGATCTTAGTTGCACTCTTAAGGATTTAGCAGGTACAATTTAGTGAGTACAAATGGCCCCAAGGTCCTTAAAGAACAGCCTTTACTCAGCATATAATAAAAAAACCCAAGCAATTTAATCTTGCCGACATTTCTTCATTTAAATATGTTAGTGGTTGATTGCTGATATGAGGGAATATTTGTGAAATCGGTGCCCAAATGTGTCTCTTCTTGTCATCTGCATCAGAGATACCTGCTCTCAATTAACCATCACATAATGTACCTGTGCACCTTTATTTTTAAAATGCCAGTGTTGTATAAAAGAAAAATCCAGTCCTGCTGTAAATGAAATCCATTCTTTCTTTTTAATCCAGAGCCAGCCCTCTAAAAGAGCAACCTTTATCTACGCTGGTATGCCCTGTGTTCTGATATAACAGTACCAGCTGCTGTACACATTGGTGTCAGCTGAAACAGCCTGGGGTTTGTAAATTATTTGGAAGTGGAAAAGGCATCTTTCCTGAATATTTGGAATTTTTGTTTAGTCAAAAAAAACAAAAAACAACCCTGACCTGGGTGGGAGTGGGGAAAGAGGTTGTTTTCCAACAAGCAGAAACTTAACCTTTTGTCTTAATGAAAAAGCTTTTCTTTTGCTCAGATGGAGTTTAGTGGCTGTACTGAACTGAATTCTGCTGTGGCCTTGAATGGCATGTTAGGAATGCCTGACTTTCAGAGTTCGTGTGCCCACAGATGCCTTGCAGCCACAGAAGTGAAACTGCAGCTTCTCCTTCTCTTTCCTATCACTTGAGATTTTGAACAATCAGAATTTTGGAAGAAAGGCAATATATATTCTTGCTTGGAAAAGCATGTGAGCCTTTACCATCTGCCCAGTAGAAACAGGGGCATAAAGACTGACTATCACACGTGTCTTCTGCCACAGCTTTCCGTCATAGGCTTTGGATCTAGGCCATTCTCGGAGGTCACCATATACTTGGACAGCTGCTCTTCTTGTGGTTACACGTGGTTGCATGAATCACTTATGGTATAAAATTAGGGACAAACATGATAGGAAGGGTAAAGATGCCTTATGATAAATTCTAGACTTTCCAGTTGTCCTTTATGGCCAAATCCTTTACAAGCTGATGTTTCATGCAGTGTTTGGTCGGGAGAAGAAGTTGCCCACCCCCAAAATAGGAACTAGTTTTAGAAGATGAGACTACCAAGTGAGGATATAGCGTGAGGGGCTCCATAAGTTTCTGAGTTTGCAGAAATAGTTATTAAAAAAAAAAAAAAGCCAAATATATTGGCATCCAACAACTTAAAAGAAAAAAAGAAAACACAGCCTGCCCTGTTCCAGGCTGTTGCCTGAGCAGTTCTGTACAAAGCATCTCTAGCATTTGGTATCTGCACCAGCATTATGTTGTAAAAAAACCCTTTGTGTTAGCCAGCTTGCATAAAGCATTTGGCTTCCCTCCATGAAGACCTCCACCCACATTTATTCAACAGGACTAACTGGCAGCGTGATGAAATGTTTGACTTGCATTTTTTTCCTTTGCTGAAATCTCTCACTGAAAGTAGACTTAAATGGAATAGGCTTTTATTTCAGATTTTAGACCTTGGAGCCAAACCTGTGTTCACTCTTCTTCTACGTATTTGCTCTCTGGCTTTGTGTCTGTTTTCTTACAAGGAAGAGTCTATGATAGTTCCCTGCCTCCAAGAAGATTGTGGGACCTGTACTTGGTGTGTTGAAGTCCAACACTACAAAAAAATACTTATTGTTGGCCTTACACCAGCTTTCTAAGATCATTGATGCAGTGTTTGGAGGACAAGTGTCGTAGAGTGGAACAGGGCACTTAACCTGAATAAGGGATGCACAGGCAAGGGCTAGCCCATTTTTTCGCTTGCTGCCACCCCAACGAGGCTTTAAGATCAGCCTCCAATTTTCTCTGCATATGTTATCTTTCTAAATAAATATATTTATTCCCTGCTGTTCATACGGAAATCAGGTCAGTGATGTGCTTGGTTAAATGCATTCAGGCGCAGGTGCCGTACAGACACATCAGGTCAGAATTAAGTGGGGGCCAGGGTTAATCTGCCTTGATTAGCTGTTGCTCCAATTGAGTTGCTATGATTAATTTTGTACACTGCTTTCTGTGTGCAGGCTAACTTAGCAATTAGCAGAGGATTTCTTTTGATGTTGCTGCAAAATGCCAGCCTGGAATTATTAATCTGGGCATGAAGCCAAAAGCGGGGTACCTTAATATGGCAAAAAATTCCCAATGGTTCAAAATTCCTTATGGCTCATAAACCACACAGAGGTAAAAAAGTGGTGAGGAAGAGATGGCCACAAGCACATGGCTTGGGCATGTTGATGAATTGGGCTGAACCCTTAGCTGTCGGTAGGGCTGTGCCAATCGGTACCAGCAAAGCAAGGAATTGTGCCTGTGTGTTAGGTGAAAGGAGGCTGTAGTCTCCCTCCTCTTCCCTTCCCTTCCTCTGGTATGGTTTAGATGAAACTCCCACTGCCTAGAAGTTGTCTTCCTACTCCTGCGCTTCAGTTTTCCTTTTTATTTCTCTTCTTCCCAAGTCTCCCCTGGGTGCCCTTGTGTTGGGCTGGACCTGCACAGCCCTGGTGTGCACCCCCGTGGGGTAACACCAAGCACCGTTCCTTCCCCCGGGCTCCCTCTCTGCCCTTTCCACCCGTGTCTCCCATGCATCCCTTTTTGCCGAGGGTTTTTGCTGCTAGTCGTCCCAGGACAGGCTGTCTGCTTTTCTGTTTTTCTCCTCAGGAAGCTTGGGAACAATTCAGCCAGGAGGCCAGAGGGAGATCAAAGGTCACTTCAGACTTGCAGGCAGAAGGGTTGGTTTGCGGCTTGATTTCTTTTTTTTATTTAAACTTTGGGTAGCATCATTGAAAGAATTAAAATTCAAATTAAGTTTGTACTTTCATTCTTTTATTTGTGTGTACAGTATTTTCCCTCCCTTAATTGCTGGGATTTTGCAACCTTGAAAGAGGGTTTTTTGTCTTGGGTTGTGGGGATTTGCTTCCTGCCAGGAAAATTTTGATGTTGCAACATGGAAAATACAAGGCTTTGAATACTTGCCCTTTGTTAGAGAAAGAGCTCCTTTAAGGGCTCGCATCTTTATTCTGTTTATTGATGTGGAAGCCTTTCTTCTGAAGGCCCCTCTTTCCTTTTTCTTAAAGAAAGGGCAAGAATTCAAGTACTTGGGTTTTCCATGTTACAACATCTGTGTATTTAGTTAGGGCACAGAAGAAGGGCTCATAAAAGCCCCAGTGTTCCCCTGTCGCGTGTTTTTCCCTGAGGAAGGCTCTCATGCCGGGGCAGTGTGGCTGTATCCGAGGAGCAGAAGCATCAGAGTGACCAAGTGAAGCATCTGCCTTGCCTTGCGCACAGCATGGGCACCTCGTACCTCTTCAGGGTGACCTGGGGTGTGGGAATACAGAATATAAGCTGTGGCCCCTGCACCCCATCTGCTCAGCACCCAGAATACCAATTCCTCAGCTGAAGCCAGTGTTTGATGGGGGCTGCCCTCTCCCACCGCACTTCTGATGGAAGGACGATGAAGACTGTGGGGATGGCTTTCTCAGCCTGAGACTCTTTGGTTTGACTTGTCAATTCAAGTTAAGTTTTCCCTTGAGCTCAGCTACCAAGCTGCAGGGCAGCTTCAGAAGTCCCTGAAAAAGCAGAAAACACCTGGGGTCAGGCTGCTTTGTGCTGCTCCTCTCCCTGGCACTGTGAACCCAGGTTCCGATCTGCCTGCTGACCCATCCAGCTCCTGAAAGGCTTGCTTGCACATGTGCCAGACGTATCTAGCCAAAGGGATTTCACTGGACACTGCTTGCAAAAATCAAATCGTACACATTGTGTTCACCTTTCCAAGCATGAGATCAAGGTAGGCACAAATAACTGCATCCTGTCCTGGAGCTTCGTGGTGCGCAGCCACTCTTCTGGATGCTGGAAGGCAAGGTGCTCCAAGAGCCGTGCTGAGCTGCTTTCAGGACGGGCTGCAGCAATGTGCAGTCGCTGCTTGGAACGGGCCACCGGTGACTGATTTGGGCAGTGAAACCCAAGGGCTGAAGAACAGAAAATGGGTTTAACCTGCCTGTCTGGTCATCTTTGGCTCCTTAGATGCCATGGACAGTGGAGAAACTCTCTTGAGTTGATCTATACACCTAGCCGCCCAGCAATGTAAAGATAAAGATGTAGGAGGGAATTTTGCCTAGGTATGAAAAGAGAAGAGGAACTCACCTGCACAACCAGATCTGAGCTCTCTGAAGGTGGGAAGGCTGTGTTTGAATCTGAACTGAATCCAGCCTAGGCTCTAGAAAAAGCAGTGCTGTGACTTAGATTTCATAGTACGTCTCTGCCGTTGGCTTAGATTGACGTGCCTGTGTCTCTGGGTGGACACTCAGAGCACTGTCGGCTGCAGAGACATTGCCACATAAAATACCTGGAAGCACCAAGTGCTTCTATTTTGGGCCACAAATTCCTGTGTATTCCTGGGCTCCTGTGTCTGCTCAGAAGTGCTCTCTAAGCAGCCGCACTCTTGCCTAACCCATCAGGATTCACAGGAAAATGGTGTGGAGAGCTCTAAGAGGGCAGGATTCAATTAGCAAGGAGTTCATCACAACAGCTGGGGTCACATCCACTGGAAAGTGGAGCAGGGCATCTCTTTGCTGAGCACCCTCTTACCTGCAAAGCAAGAGACCTACCTGCTGGGCTCTCACAGCCTAATTGCTCTTAGTTTAGTCTCCAGCTGATTGCGTGATAGCTCTGTAAAATGGCTTTGCCCTCTTTGGATGTCTGTTCCTGCGTCAGACATACTCCTTGGCTTCTCTCTCCTCCCTCTTCACCCAAATGCTTTTGTTAACTCTCCTTCTTGCTGCTTCTTCGGTCAAGTTTGTGGGAACTTCACCAAGTTTGCTGTTGGAAGTCCCTGACCATGCGCTGCACAGCCTGTGAATCTGATTTCAGTTCTTGGAAGAATGAGGTAGGGGAAACCCGCTGTGCTTTGGTCCAGCCTTGTTTCCACATGGGCTTTTATGAGCTGCCAGAGGCAACTGCTGGTTTTGAAGTGTACCAGGGGAAGAGAGAGCTCGCAGTTCTTCTCTGCTCATGATTATTTCTGTCTTCTGGCATCCTGTCTGCAGAAACGGGGATTTTAGAAGAAGACGAATGCTGGCTAACATCCTAAATCTCCTCACCCCTTTGGGAAGCCAGTCAAATCCCCATCCCAGTTTCATCTTCTCAAGGTTTCTCCTTGCTACTTTCCCATTTCTGTAGATAAGTCTTCTTGAAGCCCTTATGCCACAAGAAGCAAAGCGGCTTGCATCTGGCCCTTTTTCACTGCTGATGCTTTCCAGGATGTGGTCCCGTCCTGCCTGCGAAGGATCTGGATCGCGCTCTCTGCTCTCATTGTTTATAGTTCATGTAGCACAGAACTGTTAGGATGGGGGGTGGGGGGCAGGCGGTGTCTTTAAGAGGACATTTGAAGTTAAAACAAAGGCTTTCTCTGGCCAACCATATGACGCTTAATTTTGCATGAATAACCCATCTGAGATTAACCTTAACCTTCACTGCTGCGTGTCTCTTACTTGCATTTCCGAAGTGCCATTTTAAATGCTGCCTGGACTTGCTCGCCTTTCTACGAACGCTGCAAGTGAATTCCCTTTAAATAGCAGCTGCTGACACAGCAGCTTTGCCTGTGTTTAGCGTGATGCTGTGGCCAAGATCCAGGCGAGGTAGGAGTGGCAGGAGCGCAGCCCCGTGCTGTCCCTTGGGTATCCCCACAGCCCCTCCCAAGGCTCGTCCCCTGCCCTCTCGCAGGGGAGAGAAAGCTTTGGAGGGGCAGCAGGTGGGGATGGGTTGATGGGTGCAAGAGCAGAGCTGGATGCTCCTCCTGTGTTTCATGGGAGGTTTGCAAATGTGCCAGAGCAAGGGGAAGTCCCTAAGCAAATTACCACGCAGGGTACGGCACATCCATCTCCACCCTCCTGCCCACGGCTTGTGCTCGGGCACCTGCCCCGTGTCAGGGGGAGGGAGGGCAGGAGAGCCCAGCCCCCTGCGAGAAGCTGTCCCACTCCACCACAAGTTGGGTACGAGTGTTGGAGAGGGGAAGGGAGTGTGTGTTTGTGTGTGTGCGTGTTGGTTGTCAGCTCTCAGCCCTGCCCTGCCATCGCGTCCAGCTGGTGCAGGAGTCAGATGAGGGCAACCCAACCTCTCCTTACAGGTTGGGTGGGTAGGAAGGATTAATTTCCTCTTCCGTCCTAGCCACGCGGTCCTGGCCTTATTCCATGGTAGCAATTCTGCCCAGGGCATAGAAATTCACCAGCACATGCAGTGTCTTTGGGTTTGTCTTTTTTCTTTTTTCTTTTTTCTTTTTTGCACAGTCCTTAAGAACAGCCTGGAAGCCTTTGAGCTGAGACCCTTGTTTCCTAGATTTAGAGGAGAGAAACAGGATAAAAGGCTATGAAAAGATACCTGTGACTTTCCAGCAAGCTCCAACTACTCAGCAAACAAGCCTAAATCTCAGGGTCTCTGCAAGAGCCTAGAAGCTCTTTTCACCTTAAAGGCTCCTGGAAACAGGCATTGAAGACCAGCAAGGGCAGGCGAACTAATGAGGCTGAAGGCTTTAAAGGGCCTGCCATCACCAAGTAAGGTCTCCAGGTCCTCCAGCGTAGCTGCCTTTCCTCCAGACATACAGTGAAGGTGTGGGCTGGCTCGTGGGGTACACTGTGACACGCAGCGTGTCCGCCTGTGGCCACCCGTGCTGATTCAGCAAATAACACCAGCAGCAAAGTGGGCTTTATCCTGGCCCCATCTGGAAATCGGGGCAGCCTGAGTACTTACCCCTAGAGGGAACATCTTGCTAGGGCTGTGGGCCTGCTCTGACTAGAAAAACCCGTATCAAGCCCTGCTGCTCTGTCAGCAGTACGCTCCTGCCACAGTCTCCATCCACCGGTGCCCTGGGCTTTCCCCATCACTCGTGGGCAGCAGATGCTAACGCTGTGACTCTACAGCGGAGGTGGAAACAGTTTTCCCACCCAGCCCTGGGATGTGAAAACGTTCCCAGTCGTCATAAAGGTCCCGCGTTTGCCTCTAGAATACAACGATGCGTTAGGACTATTACTTCTGAGCAGCCAGTGCATTTTGAGCTCACACCGCATTTGTACTGGCGTGGCCCAAACTGATGAACTCCTCTTCTACCCTCCTCCTGCCAGTCAAAATCCTGGCAGTGTACGAAGCTGGGGCCCAAGAATTGGCATTGATGATGTGCGTCAGTGTGTGGTGTTTACCCAGAAGGCTGGCAGAGCTTGCTCTGCATGTGGTCCATGATGTAGCTGATGGGACCCCCTGCGAGGCAGAGTGATGAAGAACCAGTGAGTTATGGTCACATTAGAGAGGAGGTTAATCTAGTGGAGAACAGCATCTGGGTTGCTGCCACAACTGGGGTGTTTTAGGGGATTTGAACATAGATCTAGGTATTGTCAATGCACAGAAACACGATCGCTATATAGGATATGCAAGTCACTCAAAGCTTTTCCACCTGTTTTAACTAGCTTCTCAATATCAGAACACCACTTGGGACTAAATATTTAAGGGGAGTTCCTCAAGGCTGTACCGTCTTGCTCTGAAAGCACATAATTGTGTAGAAATAATATACAGGCATTGAGAAAAGGAAAATGCTTGTAGCTGTTACTCTGGGTTGTCTCCCAGCTCAGCTTCACCCTGCAGTTTGTAGATTGTCTCTGACATTTAAACTGGCATTTACTTACTCTTCCAGTCGTGGTTTTTTCCGTGTGGGAAACAGAGAGAGCTGGAAGATGGAGGGCTGTGAAATGCTTTGAGCTGTATCTTGCCAGAGGAGCAACTCCCCAAGTTCAGTGGTCAGTATTTGATGCTGGAAAAGGAAAGTAAAATCCACGTAGTCTTGTTCTCCTCCATCCACTCCCAGCGTAGGCACACGGTGATGAGTGAGGTCTGGGAGTGTTTTTTGCTTTGTAACAAGAAACCACTTTGTCCATCCAATTTGCTTTCATCAACTCTTGCAGCCTTTGAGAGGACCAAGCCCAGCAGAGACAGAAGGGCCATGCAGGACACATAGCGGTGACAGCAGCCGCAGGTCCTCACAGTAACTAAAAACCTTCATCTCTTCTGTCCTAGTTCTGGATACTGCAGGCCAAGAGGAGTTCAGCGCAATGCGGGAGCAGTACATGAGGACCGGAGATGGTTTTCTTATAGTCTACTCGGTGACGGACAAGGCTAGCTTCGAGCACGTGGACCGGTTCCACCAGCTGATCCTCAGAGTCAAGGACAGGTGGGTGCTGTGGAGCCAGGCGCTGCCTGACCCCCCTCCCACCGCTCTGGAGACCGTGCCGTGGGGGCAGTTGCACGTCTTGCCCTGCCTTTCGCCTCCTGGGTGTCCCGGGGCGAATCCTTGCATGCTCTGTGTGGGTTTGTAGACCTACATCTGAGGAATAAGAAGTATTTCACCTTTTCTGATAAGCATCTAGTGCTTTCAACACGGAAAAGTCCAGTAGTGTTATGATGGAGTGAGAATGGGTCTGGAGGGGAGAAACTCCAGCCAGAACAGTCTGGCAGAGCAGTGTGAGAAAGGCAGACACCTTCGAAGGTAACCCGTTTGGCTCTGAAGAGGGAGAAGGATGCTCAGTGCAGTGCAGGCACTTCGGGAACGCCAACAGGGGCTCAGCAAGTGTTCATTCGGCCCTAATCCTTTTGTGTGTCCTGGCAGCATCCTCCTTTCCCTGGCTTCAGTTTGTGCCAGGGAAACCTTAGAAGGTCTTGCATGATACGGGGCTGTGAACAAGCATCTTGAAGGGGAAAACGCCTCACGTCGGGAGGAACTGTATTTCTTATGAGGGGTGTAATGCAGTTAAAGCATCGTGCTCTGCAGCAACCATTTTCAAGGAATAAAACATCTCTGCGTGGCGGGGGAGAAAGCAAGAGAGGTCGCCCGCTCCCCTCCTTGTGCGCGCGTGGGAGAAGGTAGGGCTGAGGGTTTAATCGTGGTGAGCAACTGTGTCCTGACAGCAAGGGGAAGCTGCCAGGGTTTTATCTCTGAGATAACTCCCTCTTCCCATCCCAGTTCAAGAGGTGATGAATCCATCCTCACTGGGTGGGGTGTGAATCAAGCCCTTATATGTCTGCAGCTTTGAAACACTTAGTTTTTCCATTCATAATGGCTTTTAATTATGGAAGTCATCAAGAAAAGCCACCAGAGGATTCGGGCCTCGTTGCTGGCTTCCTTTCGCAGCTCTGAATAACTTCCCCACAGGAAGGGTGGACTCGTATCATGTGAGGTTCACAGCTGACAGCTCTTCCAGTAAAGCATCCAAAGCAGAGCCCACAAGAGTGAAAAGTAAAGGAAAATCCACCCTTTGATTTCATCTAAATGAAGAAAAATGTCAGTCACTCGGTCTGCCTCCCAGATCACGACAGTCTTTTCTTCACTGCCAGCTCAGCTTGGGGCAAATTAAATCTGTTTCTGAAAGCTGAGGGAGATGGGACAGCGTTTCCTGTAACCTGCCCCAAACCGATGTCGGTTTTATCTAATTTAACTTTGTGAAAATAAGATGCAGTATTCATTGTTTTGCTCGGGACTGAAACTTTTACCCCTCCGTACGCCGTGCAAACACCGCGGCCGGCGTGTGAGAAGCAGGAAGTGAAACAGGCCGGCGAGGTTGTTTGTGTTCCCCCGCTCAACGCCACCGAAGCGCAGAGCGTGAGGAGCTTAACGCTTCACCCAAAACCTGAGCTTGTTCAGAAAATGGCAGCCATAGGAGCAGCGTGAGTAAAGAAACCACCTTGCCAGACCCGCAGGTAGCTGGGAGCAGAGCATCGCCCTGGTTTTCAAGCTAGCAGTCAGTTTCGGCAACTTAAAATCCAAAGGAATTGCAGGCTGCTGCGTTAGCAGAGCTGTTCAAAGCCTTCCTCCTGTTTCTTTCCATAACTTTCATTACAGTAAAACTTCCAGCTATAGTAGCTTTGTCCAACTAGCAATCATACGGCTTACAACAGGGAACAAAGTTCCCATAGAGTTTTATGTCTGATGTAAACAAGGCAAAGGAGATACTGTCCAAATGCAATCCCTTTCTTATCGATGTGCTGCAAGCCAAAAAGAAATCAAATAATCCAGACAAGCAAGTGTTTTGCTCCAGAATGATCAGAGTCAAGATATATCAATGCTCAGGTATTAAAATTAAATCAAAGCCACATTATCAGAATGAACAACTCTAAGACTCATTTAAAATGCAGAGTGCAGTACGGTGTTTTTCCAGCCAGAGCAATGGGGCAACGTGCCAGAGAGAAGATGAAACCCTTATCGTCTCGATGAAAAATGACACAGAAATGCTGTTTGAAAATCCAGAGTTACTCAGGGAAGTGTTTTATGCAGAAATGAGTATGGCCAGCTGCTCGTTACCCCAATAAAATCAGCTCTGTTACAGCAGAGAACACTGGAATCATTTTAGGAGGGTTTAAAGTTAAATGTAAGAAAATAATACTGCAATAACTGTCAATTATAAGAAGGGACCACCTCCATCCTGGCAGTGGGTAAAGGTCCTGCAGCACGACTGTGCTCTCTGTGTCATGCAGCTGGAGGAGAGGCTCCCGTATGGGAGGTGGGGTGGGGTGGGCAGCAGCTGCACGCCAGGACCACCCGTGGCGCGAGCTGGCTCGCTTCGGTTTGGTCACAGAGCTGTGGGGATGAGCCCGACCCACAGACTTCATCAGGAGAGCCTTGCACTGGACGTGCTGTGGATAGATGGGTCTCTTCTCAGGCGGTGGCTGAAGACAGTCACTTACATGCCCCATAAAGTTAAAGAAATCTGAGTATTATTGCAGAGGGACCTTTATTCATCAGGTTTTTGCTCTGGGATTAGAAGCAGGTAATAGCATCCTTCCAGCTACCACTGCTAGTCCTTCAATTTGTCTCGGGGTAACAACTGGTGGGGATCTTTGCCCCCAGTCATTTTGTCCCTCATGAGGTGCCCCCCGAAGTGCCAGCTCTCCCAGCGTCTGCCTTTTCTTCCCCCACGGTTGCTCTCAGTGGATGGGTCTCCACCAGGACATGAACTGACACCAGTTCCTCCAACATAGCTCATTACCTTGCAATGACTAGCAGCTGCCAAGACATGTGGTTACTGAGATGCCTTAACTGTTACAAGAGAGTCCCGTTCTCCTGTTCAAGATCTGTCTCTATGTCTCAGTTAATTTCCTGACTAATTCTGTAGTTCTTCATCTAGTTGGATCTTCAGTCTTAGCTATTATCAGGCATTGCAGAAACGGTGACACTAAGTCCCTGAAGTGCCTGCAAATAAGAAGGAATGTATGCATGCATGCAACTTGTCAAGTAAATTTTTATGATATGAACATATGTGTAGCACAGTCTGGGGGCTGATGTGTGTTCATTTGGTCTTTCTTTATATTTCTTTACATGTATGTCGTATGTCTGTAGCTGAAAATGTTAGATGATGTCAGCGTCAGAAAGTGAAACTTATGCTCATCATTTTTTATTGTAGTTTGCTAATAATTGGGTGGTGGGTTTAATTTTTTCCAGAGAGTCCTTTCCAATGATTTTGGTGGCAAACAAAGTTGACCTAATGCATTTACGGAAAATTACAAGAGAACAGGGAAGAGAAATGGCAACAAAACATAATGTAAGTTTGCGGGATTGTTTAATTGGTTGTTGTAAGTCCCATTACAGGCATTCAGAATTGAATTTCCTACTCATTTGGAGCTCAATTGGAGCATTTCTCTTACAGTCGAACATTTGCAATTACATTTTCGACTACTACAGAGTAGTAGCTATACAGTTTATTTTCAGTAGGGTCAATTCATGATTGGAACTAGAGCCTCTGCTGTACACCAGGCTGTAGCAAAGCTGTGGCCATCATGAAGTCACACGTACAAGATGTCTGCAAGTGGTGAGAAACGTGAAATATTCAAAATGAGGGAAGAAAGTGCACCCTCCTGGAGTGAAAAGGCAGTCAGGCATTGGGAGGTATACCAGGTGTCTGTAGGAAGTGAGCTTGTTAAAGATAATGAAGTTACAGGGTTGTTAAGCCTATATAAATCTGGCCCACCTTCTTAGCTCTGCATTATGCATGGTTTAGCCTGAGAAATTGGTCTTGGGTGAGTGTAGATGACATGATACTCCAGTAATCACCTCTAAATGCCAGCAGCCGTGAATACCCGGAGGGAGGCAACAACTCCCATAGGAGGAACTGAATGGAAAGGTAAAAGGCAAAAAAGCCTGAGACCTCTTGGCGGCCTGCTGTGCCTAAACAGCAAACTGTGCGGTGTTTTTAAACGAGCCGCGATGGGAGTTTGGCAGGGCAGGTTCACTCCCTCCCAAGGAAGCTCGTTTCTGTAGGAGGCAGGACACCTGAACTGCAACATGTTGCGCCCATCTGTACGCACACGCTTTGGAAAAGACCGTGTACTGAAATACCTTATCAGAGGCAGTTTTATAAATCTGCCAGCGTGCTGGACGAGCTCCCTAGGAGGCCCCATCTGGCTGTCACACTTTGAAGGAGAAGATCATTTTACACTGAAGGGGAATTGTAGTCATGAAATATTCATGCAGTAGTCCTAATAAAATATGGCAAGCAAGAATTTTTGGCAAGTGCTCATCTTTCAACAACCTTCGGCTATTTTCATGTCTGCTAGCACAGCTTAGAGGGAGAGAACATCTGACGACATGAAGTCTATGATTATTCTTCCCCAAACCCGGAGCTCTGATAGCAGCTGGTTTGCCTGATGCTTATTCCAGACCTTTTGTAAGCGTTTGCTGACCTTGCTGTGAGCATGAAAGTGTTGATAGCAGTGTCATGACAACACTTTGTTTACCTGTATTTCCCCGGTCTCTTAGGCATCCGATTTCTCCAGCCTTTAGGGTTTTTCATTTTGAAACTGGTTTGCTACCAACGTGTAGGCTGTTACTAATCTCTTTCATGATATGCTTCTGTCCTCCAGATTCCCTATATAGAAACTAGCGCCAAGGACCCACCTCTAAATGTTGACAAGGCCTTCCATGATCTCGTGAGGGTAATAAGGTAAGCTGCAAACTCTTCACTTGCTCACTGCCCATGGACGGGACGTGCAGGAGTCCTGGCCTGGAGAGCCAGGAGCCAATTTTGGGGGAGCAGGGTGGTTTGGTTGGGGGTGGGAGATTTATGGGGTTTATTAAACTTTCTTGTCCTATATCTGCATAGGGATATTACTAACGTTTAGTTACCTTTGTAGGACATCATTGCTAGGCAGGTTGAGAACTAGCTGTGGCCATGGCAAAAATATATTATTCAATGAACAATGTGAAACCTACTATAACGATCAGCTTTGAAAGGCCGGTGTTAAAATCTTTGGACCAGTAATTTGGGTTTTCATAGCTTTGTCCTCTCAGGGTATCACGTTGCCAGAGGTTAAAAAGGACTGGCAAAAAATTCTTACAAAACTCTAATGTAGGTGACTTCTAACATTTTCTGCTCACTAAATGGAAAAAATTAAGCCGCTTTGTAGGAGAAACAGCATGACCTAATGGCTAAGCCACAGGTTTCCTCCTCAGACTGCAGAGGTTTGTTCCCGGTTTTGGCATGAGCTGCCTTTGCTCGCTTTGGCAAACGCCTGCTCTCCGGGCGAACCCCTGCTCCCGCTGCCGGCAGGGAGGGACTGCCTTCCAAAATCCCGGCTGCCCTGCAGGAAAAGAGCTGCACGCACATCTCGGCGTCTAGGCTGATAACCTCAAATCTCTCTGAGAAGATTTGTTTTTCTGGCACCGGTTGTCTGCCAGATTTTTCTGGGCCCTCATTTTTCATATTTTGGGAGGGTGCTGAGCTGAAATCATGCTCCTCCCCGCCGTGCAGTCAAAGTGCCTCTCTCGGCAATTAAACCATGAGGCATTTATTCACAGCGTATCTGTACTTGTGAATATCTTAGCGCATCCTCCAGTCAGCCTCCATCAAAAGCAGATGGTACTGCCCACTCTTCCCACATGTCTCAAAAGCAGGGGGCAGAAAGTCTTTGGAGAACTACAGAGCTGACTTGGAAATGTCCCAAGCTATTTCCCAACTGTTCTGTAACTCAGCATTAGCTGGCTAGATATTACTTTTGTGTTACAGCGACCTCTTACCACCATCTATTCTACTCTGGGGGAAAGAAAAACATAGCCAAAATAAGATGGTGAGGCTCTATTTGCTTTCTCTACATAACACGACTCCAGACAGGCTGGAAGGAGCCTGTTATAATGAAGCGTCACTAAATTCAAGCCCTGAAAATGCACTCTATAACCTCAAAAATAGGTGATGCACCTCAGTTCCCTGAGTAGTCACCGTGAAAGTCATTGCCAGCCAGGTGAAACCCTGCGTGGCATCAAGGGCACCAGAGATGTTCAGAAGAGCTGAACTCGGGTTAAGACAGAGAGCAAAGAGATGCTGTGTGATCTAGCTGGTCATTTGCCACAAAGCAGTTTCGCTTGGTCTTTGGACGTTGCAAACCGTCCACAGCCATGGGATGGCATCACCCACCAAGTATTCCTTTTCTTTTTTTAAGTGAGCATTTCCAAAGAAAATGTAAATTTACAGCTCCCTAATAACTGTGTCAATTCTTGGAGTGCTTTACGAATGTAGAGGCTCCTCAGAGGCCGTGTGAGTTTGCAGGGTGAGGACGCTCGTTCAGGGTTGGCACTGTTCGTGCTCCTTGCACTTGGCTGATTCCCAGTTTATGTAGCTTCATGCAAGAAACTGTTGTCTGAAAGTAATCCAGAAAGGAGCGGGGTGATTGAGTCCGCCCGATAGATCTTTTAAATTTTTTTATATCCCTTTTATGCTGCAGCAATGCCTACACAAGGACTGTCACAGCAGAACTCTTGAGCGGGCACGGGACGTGGTTTTCTGGATCTCTAAAATAGTTCCAGAACACTGTGAACAGCTTGCGGGTGCTTAGTGTTTATCCAAATTAACTTTAAAGTATTTTTTTATTTCAGCTTTCTAGTTTTGAGCTTTAAAGTTTTCTGTTTTTCGTGCCTCCAGCCTTCATACTGAAGACTGAAAAAAAAAAAAATCTTATTAGTCAAAGCTGAGTTTTTCAGGTGGTTGCAAGCATTTGGGAGCTGAGGCTGTAAGAAAAACACCAGATGAAGCCATAATGATTTGTCCCCCAGCTATGTCTCATCCTGGTCTGGATAACTTGGTCTAAACACTCAGTTTAGTGCCTGGCGTATTACATAGCAAAGAGGCTGCGTTTGAACAATTTGAACTCAGGTTGGTTATTTAGACACTGTTTGAATCAACGGAAGCTGCCGGTGTTCGTATGGTTTATCTTGCAATAAAATCTAAGTCTACGGGCTGCCTGTCGGGTGTTTGAACTACAAAGCCGCCTTCTGTTGAATTTGCACCGCTGGGCTAGCTGAGTGGCTGCTGCAAACAGGTACAGTTGCAAACAGGCACTTGGGCAATGCCTCATCGTAATGAAAAGGGAGAAGCCCTCAGCGTAACGTTTTAGAGGTTGCTCACAACCCACCTGACTGATGGGGGCTGCCGGGGCGCAGCGCAGGAGAGCTCTCGGCTGTGTGTTTGGCAGTTGTGACTTTAGGCAACCAGGGACATCTTTCTGGGGTCAGCTTGCTCTCCGTGGTCTGGTGCTCTTCTCAGCTTCCAGGGGAGGCCAGAGCCCCAGCAGCAGCAGACTCTGTTTTTTCATTATTATTTTTTAGCCCCGCTCCATAACCAAGTCCACAGCAGTGCAGTTGGCTAAGGGCAATGCCGGCTGAAAGCCAATCTTTCCGGGAGGATTTATTTCTCTGTGCGCTTTGTATCTCTTTCGCCCTCCTCCCTAACAAGCGTTAGCAGCAGCGTGATGGATGACGTTGCATTGCTTAGAGCATCCCTGTTTCCCAGAGCAGTCCCCTGGCAGGGGAGGAGGCAGCAGTTCACCCAGGGCAACCGGAGGGATAGTGCCTTGGCAGGACATACATCCCTGCCATTAGCCTTAATGTTTGCTTATGGCTTCTTTCCTCCTTCCTTGAAAATGCAGGCGGTTATCTTGTTAGCTGTGTGGCCTGAAAAGCCATGTGGTGGTAGAAGAGTATATGGAGATATATATGCAAATATACATATGCATGCCAAGATGCTGTTCTGCTGGCTGCCTGGGGCTCTGGATGCTGATGTCCGACCCAGCGTTGTGTCTCACCTGCTTGTTTTCCTCTCTGTCTCCCAAAACAGGCAACAGATCCCAGAGAAAAGCCAGAAGAAGAAGAAAAAGACCAAATGGCGAGGGGACAGAGCCACGGGCTCCCACAAACTCCAGTGCGTGATTTTGTGACGGGACTGCCCGGGAGTGCCTTGGACGCCTCCCTCCTCCCCCCTTGACCCACCGCCAACCCAGGCA